GGAGTAGGAGGAGGAGGAGGAGGAGGAGGAGGAGGAGGGGCGAGCGTCCCAAGGCGAAGGAGGAGGCGGAGAGCACACGTGACCCAAAGAGAGGAGGTAGGCGGACAAGGGCACAAAAGACGCTACCCTGGAAAACCCGAGGGTTGGGGGAGAGCGCGGGGAGCGCTGCGCGTTGGGTAGGCACGCGCCCGCGGGGGGGGGCGAGCGGCGCACTCGTCGCTCGCCGCTCCCCGCGGGAGCGCGCGGGTGCAGCGACACCCCGCGCCCCACCCCAACCAAAGGAGCGGCGAAGGGTGAGGGGAAACAAAAGCCGCCACGGCGGCCCGCGACGCGCGCACCGAGGGCGCCAGCCTCGCGTTCGGCCGACAAGCGCCCTCGGGGCAGCGCGCGCGACGCGGGGGTATATTTACCCTCCCCCCACCGCAGGGAGACGTGGACAAAGAACACGAACAAGACGAGGAACACGAAGTCCATGAAGACCTGAGGCGAGCCACCCCAAACGCACCCCCCAACCGACCCAACCCGCCCCACCACAGGCACCGCGGCGAACCGCGGCGCCAGCGGCGGGGCGGCAGGGGTAGAAGGTTCCCAGGTCCGCGTTTTTGTGACAACGAACAAAACTGCGTTGTGTTCTCGCCCACAAAAGACGCTACCCTGGAAAACCCGAGGGTTGGGGGAGAGCGCGGGGAGCGCTGCGCGTTGGGTAGGCACGCGCCCGCGGGGGGGGGCGAGCGGCGCACTCGTCGCTCGCCGCTCCCCGCGGGAGCGCGCGGGTGCAGCGACACCCAAGGCCCTTGCTGCACCTGCGCGCGAGGAAAACCCAACGCTGTTCTCGCCGAAGGTGTTCTATAGGCTCACAGCCACCTCAGTCCTTGTCTTCGTCGCTGGACGAAGCGCCGCCGTGCGCTTCCCTGACGGCGCTGTCCTCAAGCGCATCCCTGTCTAAATATGACAGGAAGGCGGCGGACCGCCAATCTCCGGCGCGAAGGATGTCGGCCAGCCGCGAGCCACGCACCGCCATGTCTTGGGCGTGGCCCCGACGAAAATCGTGGGTGCGATAGGCATCGTGCCGCGGCACCCCGAGCTCTTGCAGGGCCGCTCTCAACGCCGATAGGACAGCGTCCGGGCGGAAACCCGCAAAAGGCTGCTGGGCCGCGCTGTCGGCGCAGAATTTCCCCAGCGCGTGCACGGGGCACGTTGATGGACAGCGCGCGCACCAGCACGTGCGCGTCATCGTGAGCGGCGTGGCGCGATTCTTGCGCCAAAGCAACGTCAGCGAGATCGAGCCGTCATGCAGGCGTAGGCAGCTCTTCGGCTCGACCGCCCGCGGCGGATCGCCGTCCCGAGCGACGTGCATCGGCAGTGCTTCCGACGGCAATCGCAACAGGAATATGTACGCCGTCAAGAAAAGCATCTGCAGCTCGCGCCCCGATTGGTGGCGTTCGAGATGCTTCAGTAATCTGGCGAGGAGCGCCTCCCGAATAAACATCTTGGGCCTGGCCTGCCAAGTGTTTCGCGCTTGCACCGCGCGAGCCGCGCGCTCGACTGCCGGGTCGCTCAGCGCGTCCAGCGGGACGCGCAACAGGATGCAGACTAATCTGACGTGCGAAATATAGTTGTCGAATGTTCCTTTACAACGGAAGCATGTGCTCCACAATGCAAGGCCCTCGGGCGACGGCGGAATCACTTCCCCCGCGTCGCAGCCGAGCACGGTCATGGCGAAAGTCGCCCAGCAGCGGAAGGCGCTGACTACGCTGGGCCACGTTTTCGGGCAGCTGCCCAGAATCGCGGCGACCCGAGCCGAATTCGACCATTCGCTGAAGCTTCGCTGGGCGAGGCCCTGCCGCAGGGCCTCGACTTCACGGCGGGGGCCCGCGCGCGGCTCGATGGTGCACTGGCGCGCTATGCTGACGGCCAGCTCAAGGTCCCGCACAGCACCGCAAGCCGCCGAAAGCTCATCGCACTTGGCAGCTCGCCGCCTGGCAGGGCGACTGCGGCTGCGGCACTCGCGCTGATGCACGTCGGGTGCAGGCGGAGGTTCGTCCTTTGCGCCGCGCACGACGGCAGATGGCTTCTTCGCTTCGTTAATTAACTCTGACAGCGCTACGCGCAGGGCGTCAGGGCTGACGCCTCGTTCCCCTTCTGCGGCAGACACCGGTTCGAACCAATCGACGCGCGCTAGCTGCAGATCTCTGAGATGCGTTATGTCCTGGCGCCGCAGCAACTCGATCAACGCAAAGGTAACCATGGGTGAAAGCTCTGGCAGGACGCCGCGGACCTCATGAAACAACGTCATGGCTTATCGCTCGACTGAGCGCCCGTCGCTGGCTGCGCTGGGACCGCGCGCTGACGCATAGGACAACCGACCAGGGGCCCATCGATGGGGCCGGTTAACGACGCAGCTTCCACTGTCGGCTTTTGGCATCAACTCGCGCGGGCCGCCCTCGCAAGGCACGCGCGAGGCATGGCTCGCAACGGGCTCGACGCGGGACAGCGGCTCACTCGCCTTCGTTGCTTCGTGCCGCCTTCGATGCGCAACGGCGCTCGCGGGGCGCGACGACGCGCGACGGCGCGCTCCCGCCGGCAGAGCGCGGGCCAGAAACGTCTCCGGTGCGAAGAACTCAGCCGCGCGTAAGCGCGGCGTCACGAAGTTCGCCCCAAGAACACGTAGCAACTCGTACTCCTCCCGCGACGGAAGGTCGGCGATGTTCTCTGCTGATGGGACCCGCGCAAACCACGGCGAACACCGGGTGCGTGCGATGAGGAACCACATGGCGTGAATGATGCGGGAGTGGTCCCAAGCGGAAGCGCGACCGCTCCGCACTGCCCCTTCTGCGCCCACATTGTCGGACCAAATCACCACTCGGCGGTCCGCCAGCAGTTCACTAAAGGTAGCTAATCCCAGCGCTATAGCGAGCAGTTCTAACGCCATAATCTGAGAGTCCCGGCGCGGCGCCAAGTCCTCCAGCAGCTCCTGGTCTGGAGGGGCGTCGGACCAGAAGGCGCGACCATCGACGAACAGCACGGCGGCGAGCCGTGGATCGGACCCGCCCCTTGCGTCAGCGAACAAGTGCACTTCTTGCCGTTCCAGCTGCGCCCACGGCTTGGACTGATGGATGCCGAGGGCCAGCACCTCCGCCCACCATGACAGCGCCAAGTTGAGCGGGGCGCGAACGACACCCCGTCGCGCATTCTGCTGCGCGAACAGGGGCTGCAATCATCGCACGCCCTAGCCGCTCGAAGCAATGTTGACCTGCCCAGCTGAGAGCGCCGGCCAGCTTGCTGGCTTGGCCGGCACATAGTGTCCCGCAGTCGAGCGCTTGCTTGATCAAGAAAAGCCACTTGCGCACCTTCTTGGGCGCGGGAAACAAGTTGATCCCGCTGAGAGAAAAGGACACATGCAGGCCCAAAATCTCCAGCTCGTCGCCACATTCCAGCTTCTTATCGGAAACCGCTCCTGGACCTAGGAGCAGGCGCACTAGTCTGGCCAGCGATGCCATGGTATGCTCTTTAGTTGCGGGTGCGCACGGCCCAAAGAAATCGTCCACGTATCGGAGGGTGGGAATCTTTAAGAGCTTGCGGGCGAGGTGCGCCAAGGCAGCTCCGACTCGGTCCCACCCAAAGACGGCAGCCAGGGCGCCGAACATCAACGCCAGGTGACCAGTGACCCAAATGTCTCCGTCGTGCAAATACGTGCTGTAAGCTGCCCACCTGTGGCAAGGCCGACATCGACACCGCAAACGCCGGGTTCCTCTGGAACCCCGACACGAGCCCCCAGGTCGATGCTTTTAACGGGGGGGGGCACCCGGAAAATCCCGAGCCTGTGTTCAGGAGCGATAGGCACACGCCGGTAAGCGGAGTCGATGTCAGCCTTAAACAGTGCCGGTGCGTGCCCGCGCAGACCGTGATAGCAGCGCAGGGCGTCCACCAAAACGTCAGCCCCGTCCAGCAACAACCTCTCGGCGGGCTGGCACGCCGAGTTGATGCCCCCTCTCGATTCATCGTCTACTACGCGAACCTTGGGCGCGCCATCCGGCTTGACGCCCTGCACAATGGAGAAACGCGGGGACAGACGCACCCTGCCCAAGTCCGCCTTGGCCAGCACAACCGGAGCGGTCATCCGCGACAGAGACGCATCGGCGAGCGCGCCCTCGTGGATCGCAGACGAGTTCACGTCCTCTCGCAAGGAAGACAAAATGGCTCTATTGTGCACGGGGGAGGAGGTCAGCAACTCCTCGGACGACGTGGGCTCCGGGAATTTCTTTGCGGGCCCTCTGCCCGCATGGGGCAGCTTTCCGAGCAAAGGCGCGCCGTAGCGGAACAGATCAGCCGCGGCCGTGTCATCGTAGCTCGTCATGTCGAGCAGAGCAGCTAAAAGCGGCCCATTCACGTCGGCGGACACGGCGCGCGTCGCGTCGTCAGCGCCGGCGAACCATTGCGCCACCGAGGGCGCCAGCCTCGCGTTCGGCCGACAAGCGCCCTCGGGGCAGCGCGCGCGACGCGGGGGTATATTTACCCTCCCCCCACCGCAGGGAGACGTGGACAAAGAACACGAACAAGACGAGGAACACGAAGTCCATGAAGACCTGAGACGAGCCACCCCAAACGCACCCCCCAACCGACCCAACCCGCCCCACCACAGGCACCGCGGCGAACCGCGGCGCCAGCGGCGGGGCGGCAGGGGTAGAAGGTTCCCAGGTCCGCGTTTTTGTGACAACGAACAAAACTGCGTTGTGTTCTCGCCCAAGAACGAGGAGGAGGAGGAGCAGGAAGAGGAGTAGGAACTGGTCGAGGACGGTATGAGGAGGAGAGGGAGGACGACGACAGCGACGATGCATCGGGCGGCTGCTTCTCCCCCACGCGAGCTTCACACGGCAGCCTGGGGAACTTGCCACCACGTGACAACTTGCCACTACCCACGAGAACACTGGCAAATAGCAAGCACACCACAATAAAGATGGGCAAGCGGAACACGCGAAGCGGTTGAATAGGGTATGCACCGCTCCACAGTCAGACTTGCGCCGACAGGGTAAGATGTTGAGAAGATCAGGCCATCGTCGGCGGGCATCTGGTCCAAGAAGATTGTCATCTCTGGCAGCGCTCCGTCTGGCAGGTGCAGGTACCAGCCTACGTCGCAGCATGCGCCAGTGATCTGCGGGCTTCCTGCCAGGCCGAGGCGGAGCCGCCTGCTGACGCTGCCGAAGTGGTACACGCTACCTTCCATCGGGTCCGGCGCAATGCGGATGTACATTCTGGTGTCTGGCGCAGAGTCCCACATCCCTTTCTCGAGCCACAGACTGACGACGGACCTCTTGCCCCGCTTGCCCTGGAGGGGGCACGCGAAGAAGCCCCACTGCGACTCGTGGGTGCACGCGTCGTCGAGCAGCCACCACTCGTTGGTCGCCCCTGCCGTCTCGGAAGCGCTGTCGTCTGATCCCAAGATGAAGCCGCCGGTTTCCGAGCCGCCGCCCGCGCCGCTGCTGCCGTCCAGGTCGATGATGTTCGAAAGTTGGGAGGACCCCGTCACGCCAAGGCAATCGCCCCAGCAGTTGCCCAGGCAGGAGTCGCGGTGCGTGGTCTCACAGGCGAGCCGCTTCTCGTGGCGGAAGCGATTCGCGTAGGGCGTGTTCTCGAATACCAGGCCTCTGGAGTCGAACATGCCCGCCTGCTTCATGACATTGCTGTGAGTCATGTCCAGGATGCACTCGTCGCCGGGCCGGTCGAAGTTGCGGAAGAGGACGTCCACCATGACGGTCTGGGCGTCCGTGTCGTAGAGCTGGAAGCCCGAGCACCTGCCGGGCAAGTCCTCGGCGGTGTTGCCCGTGTGGCTGGAGATCACCGCTCCGCGGATGTAGGTCAGGCCCAGCTGGGCGGACAGCCTCCACGAGTCGTGGGCCTCCACGCCCTCCAGTGACAGGCTGGGCTGTCGCCCCGCAGCGCCCCAGAACAGCAGGCCGAGCCTGCAGGCGAAGAATCTCGTGTTCGTGAGGCGGAAATTGCCGGCTTTGCGCTCGCCAGTCCAATCACGGCCCGACGTGTAGCTGTAGCGGTCGCTGCCGGGGCTGTCCTGCCAGAGCTTGCCACCGATGTAGATGCACGAGCCCAACTCCTGCGAGTTGCGGCCCCAGTGCCAGCCCGACGAGTGGGCCGTGTTGGAATCCGCCGCCCCCTGTCGATTCATCGCAGGAGTGCCTGGCGTGCTAGATAGATTTCTTAGGTTTTGGTTTTGGTTCTTTTTCCAAAAGAACTCCCCAGTGGGCTCCGGCCCGTCCCGCCGGCCACCCAGAAACTGCATCAGTCAATGCTTGAAACGGCCGTTTCGCTCGGGACATCCTCAAAGAATCGCGAAGATGGCCCAAGATGGCCTCCAAGTCCGCACAAGACGGTCCAAGACGGCCTCCAAGACGGCCCAAGAGAGTCCAAGACGGCCCAAGACGGCCCAAGAGGCCCTCCAGAGGCCTCCCAGATGGCCCAAGAGGCCTCCAAGAGGTCCTCCAGGAGGGCCCGAAGAGGCCGAAATCATTGTTTTTTTTTCATCGGTTTTTGAAGGATTTGGGCATTCACTTCTTCTCGGCTTTCCGACGGCTCAAGACGGCCCAAGAGGCCCCAAAGATCGCCCAAGAGGCCCCCAAGGGGGCCCCATGACGGCCCAAGTGGCCTCCAAGACGGCCCCAAGTGGGCCCCAAGATGGCCCAAGAGGCCTCCAACACGCTCAAAATGGCCTCCAAGACGCCCAAGATGGCCTCCAAGACGGCCCCGAAACGCCCCAAGAGGGCCCCCAGTCGGCCCAGAAAGGCCTCCCAAACGGCTCCAGACGGCGTCAGACGTGCCAGGAACCCACCAAGATGGCCGAAGTTGGCTCGAAGCTGGCCCAAGACGGCCCAAGAGGCTCCCAAGAGGGCCTCCAGGAAGGTCAGAAAAGGCCAAAAACCTGGATGTTCCGCAGGTTTCCAAAGGATTTTGACACTTGCTTCTTTTCGGCCTTCCGACGGCCCGAGACGGCCCAAGAGCCCCCAAAGATCGCCGAAAGATCGCCCAAGAGGCCTCCAAGATGGCCCCAGAACGGCCCAAAAGGGCCCCAAGACGGCCCCAAGAGGCCCCCAAGACGGCACAGGAGGCCTTTAAGACGCCCAAGATGGCCTCCAAGACGGCCCTGGAGCAGTCCAAGATGGCCCCAAGTCGGCCCATAGAGGCCCCCCAAACTGCTTCCGACGGCGTCAGACGGACCAGGAGCCCACCAAGCCGGCCGAACATGGCCCTAAGATAGCCCAAGACGGCCCAAGAGGCCTCCAAGAGGGCCTCCAGGAAGGCCCGAAAAGGCCACAATCATTGATTTTCCATGGATTTTTGAAGGATTGTGGCATTTGCTTTTTTTCTGCCTTCCGACGGCCCGAGACGGCCCAAGTGCCCCCAAAGATCGCCCAAGAGCCCCAAGAGGCCCCCAAGGCGGCCCAAGAGGTTTCCAAGACGCTCAAGATGGCCTCCAAGACAGTCCAAGAGCCCTCCAAGACGTCCTCCAAGAAGGCCCGAAAGGGTCAAAATGGCCTCCAGGCGGCCAAGATGACCTTCAAGATGCCCACGTGTTCCCCGAAGGCTTTCCAAACCGATTCGGGGAACACATGGTCCGATAGCTTGGCAGGTCTGGCCTCAACGTTCGGCCACATGGACGCTTCCAAAAAGGCAGGGGGCGGCGGTGATTCGCCGTAGGCGTCTTCGATCAAACTCGAGCAGGTCGAGCGACTCAGGCTCGTAGCTGGGATCCTTCCAGTAGCTGTCGCCCAAGGCGTTGGGCACTCGTGGGAAGTGGAAGCCAGTGAAGCCTCCACTGGCACTGTTCCCCACCCAACGGTTGTTCGCATTAGTGCAGTAGAAGCCAGAAGCCGTTGCGTCTACGGGCAAGATCCTGTCGGGCTCGGAGTCCAGCTCTACTCCATCCTGGCCCCACCCATAGTGCGAGAGGGGCTTTATGATGTGCACGTGCGCTGCAAGGTTGAACTCGAGACGGTTGTTCTCTTCCACGCCATCTTCCAGGTAATAGGCGCTTCCAGATACGTCATATGCTACGCCACGTGAGACCAGTGCCCCAGATGTGCCATGGATGGTGAAGGCACGGAAGTAGCTCCGCTGCACGACGCAACCCTCGAAATAAGAGGCGCCCTGCACATCACTCATCATGTGCAAGTGAAACGGGTACCTCCCCATGACGTTCTCGTGGCCCATCCGGTAAGCGCGAACACCACTTACCCGGCAGGTTGCAGCACCCTTGCAGACAGTGTGCCCGCCCTTCCTGGTCGTCTCGCTGGTGATGTCGCCCTGGAGCGTGATACTGCGCGACAGCAACGCCACCTCGGTGGCGTACTCCTGGCCACCATAATGAGCGTGCGCCAGGGGGCCCTCAAGGCTGACCACCGTGCCGCCCGAGCCGACAGAGGCAACGCGCAAGACCTCGTTTTCGTGCTTGCCGGGCGTGTCCTCCCAGGCCGAGGTGACGACCAGCACCTCATGCCCCGCCTCCCAGTCCACGGGGTCCTGCAAGCGCAGCGTCGTGGACCCCGCCGCGGCGGTCTGCGCCAGCCTGGTCCACGTCGGCGCATAGGGTTTGCCGTGCAGGTCAAGCACGCCGCCACCCTCCACGACCAGCCCGCCGCCGCTTGCGAAGGTGATGCCGATGCCGTCCGACAGCAACGGACAGGTGTCAGAGCCGAACCTGAGTTTGCCAAAGACTGTCACGGTGTCCACCGTGAGGACCAGGCCTGGGGCGTCGGCGAACACGAGCTCGCTGCCCGCTGGGATAGTGAGCGTCGCGACCCGAGCAGGCTGGCTGACCAAATAGCGCTTCCCCGCTGGCACGGTGACATCTGCGGAGACCAGCTGCTCGAACGGCAAGAGCCCGCCATCATCATGGGGGCAGGCCGACTGAACCCGACGGCCCGGGTCCGCCAGAGGCATTCGCCGCTGGACGGCGACTGCGCGGTAGGCACTGCCAAGGCGAGCTCCCAGGGCAAGCACGAGTACCGCAGCAAGGGCTACACTGCGCCATGGCTGGACATGAGCCATGCTAGTCCCCAAGTCCAGTGCAGTCGGTGCTGTGCACTGCCTAGTGAAAAGCCCCGTCCCTCTCTAACCTGAGCAAAAAAAGCTGCCACCGCTGCTGCTGAGATACCAGGAGAGCATTCATCTCACAGAGGGGTACTACGACCACACCCACCACTGTTACTGTTACAGCTGCCACTGCTACCACCACTACAACTCCCACCACTTAGGCGTGATTATATTTATCCTACTAGGCGCGCACCCCATGCAAGCATAACCTGCCTTCGTCGACTCGGTAAACTACAGATTATAGCCGGAGTGCAGTATCCCCAAACAGGGTTTTTTTAACTCACTGCGGTTTCCAAGGTCGATTGCGCGCCCATCCAGTGCGGGCTAGCATGGCACGTTAGAACATGCCTCCTCCTCCTCGTCCTCGTCCTCCCCCACCTCCTCGTCATCCCGAACGGCATCTCGGAGCCCAGAGTTGCGAGGATGTCTCCAGCGTAACGGGCTGGATCATCTCGCGCGCGGCATCTCGGACCCCAGAGTTGCGACGATGTCTCTTGCGAAACGTGCTGCGAGGAAATCTCAGGCGAAACGGGCCAGACCACCTCGAGCGCGGCGTCTCAGAGCTCCGAGTTGCGGGGGCCTCCTGTGGCCTCCTCGACCCCACCTGTGGCTTCCTGAAGCCTCTTGGGGCTCCCAGGGGGGGAAATCTAACATGTGGCCGTCGGGGCCTGGGGGGGGAGCCACAAGAGCAGGAAAACTCAACGAATCGGCACTGGATGTGTATTAACTTGACACGTTCTGATAGGGGGCCTCCTGGGGCCTCCTGGGAGCCCCCTGGAGATGTCCTGGGGACCCCTAGGGCCTGTCCTGGGCGTCTTGCGGCCTCCTGAAGCTCTCTGGGGCCTCCTGGGGCTCCCAGGGGGGATGTGTAACATGTGGTCTCCTGGGCCCCCAGGCTGGACCACCTCTTGCGCGGCATCTGGGAGCTCAGTCAGAGTTGCGAGAATGTCTTATGCGAAACGGGCTGGACCACCTTGCGCACGGCATCTCAAAGCTCGGAGTTGCGAAGATGTCTCAGGCGAAACGGGCTGGACCACCTCGCGCAGGGCATCTCGGAGCCCAGAGTTGCGAGGATGTCTCCAGCGTAACGGGCTGGACCACCTCGCGCGCGGCATCTCGGACCCCAGAGTTGCGACGATGTCTCTTGCGAAACGTGCTGCGAGGAAGTCTCAGGCGAAACGGGCCAGACCACCTCGAGCGCGGCGTCTCAGAGCTCCAAGTTGCGGGGGCCTCCTGGGGCCTCCTTAGGCCTCCTGGGGACCTCCTGCTCCCTCCTGTGGCCTCCTCGACCCCACCTGTGGCTTCCTGAAGCCTCTTGGGGCTCCCAGGGGGGGAAATCTAACATGTGGCCGTCGGGCCCCCCCAAAATGCAATGGGGCACAAGAGCAGGAAAAATCAACGAATCGACACCGGATGTGTATTAACTTGACACGTTCTGATAGGGGGCCTCCTGGGGCCTCCTGGGAGCCCCCTGGAGATGTCCTGGGGACCCCTGGGGCCTGTCCTGGGCGTCCCGCGGCCTCCTGAAGCGCTCTGGGGCCTCCTGGGGCTCCCAGGGTCCCAGGGAGGATGTGTAACATGTGGTCTTCTGGGCCCCCAGGCTGGACCACCTCTTGCGCGGCATCTGGGAGCTCAGAGTTACGAGAATGTCTTGTGCGAAACGGGCCAGACCACCTTGCGCACGGCATCTCAGAGCTCAGAAATGCAAGGATGTCTCAGGCGAGACGGGCCGGACCACCTCGCGCAGGGCATCTCAGCTCAGAGTTGCGAGAATGTCTCAGGCGAAACGGGCCGAACCACCTCTTGCGCTGCACCTCGGGGCCCAGAGTTGCGAGGATGTCTCAGGCGAAACGGGCCGGACCGCCTCGCAAGCGGCATCTCAGAGCCCAGAAGTTCGAGGATGTCTCAGGCGAAACGGGCCGGACCACCTCTCGCACGGCATCTCGGGGCTCAGAGTTTCGAAAATGTCTCAGGCGAAACGGGCCGGAACACCTCGCAAGCGTCATCTCGGAGCCTGGAGTTGTGAGGATGTCTCAGGCGAAACGGGCCGAACCACCTCTCGCACGACACCTCGGAGCTCAGAGTTCTGAGGATGTCTCAAGCGAAACGGCCCGGACCACCTCTCGCGCGGGGTCCCGGAGCGCAACTGTTCGAGGATGTCTCAGGCGAAACGGCCAATCCCGGCCAACTCAAAAACGGAAGTTGTGAGGATATCTCAAGCGAAACGGCCTGGACCATCAAATTGTTGTGAGGATGTCTCTGCTCCCCTTTCCCCCGGCTGGAGTTAGCTTCTATCACAACAGCACCCCGTTCAGCAAGCTGTTTGGGGAACAAACATCTGGACGTCGGATGCCTGGGGATGGCGGAAGGCAAGGCGCGCATGGCGGATGCTGAGGCGGCAAAATGACGGAGACGGCGACGGAGAGGCGGAGGCAGAGGCACAGCAGCGAAAGGCGAGAGGCGTGAGGAGGAAGGAAGGAAGAGGAGGCAAGCGGGAGGCAAGAGGAGGGAGGTGGGAGGAATGAGAAAGGTTTCAGGCAGAACGGGACACACCATCTCGTGCGCAGCATCTCGAAGAACCCTGACGAAGAACCAGTCCCGGGGACGAGATCGAGAGGTCCGCGGGCGCACGTCTCGAAACAAAAATCGTGACGTCGGATGTCTGCGGAGGGCGGAAGGCAGGGCGCGCATGGCGGCATCTCGGAGCTTCGCATTGTGAGGATGGCTCGGGAGAAACGGGCTGGACCACCTCGCGTGCGGCATCTCGGAGCTCAGTATTGGAAGGATGCCCCAAGCGAAACGGGCCGTTCTACCTCTCGCTTCCCGTTGAGCCCTCTCATGCAACTCCATTCCTCATCCCTCCTCCTCCTCCTCCTCCTCCTCCTCCTCCTCCTCCTCGTCCTCCTCCTGCCTGCTCCCTCCTCCTCCTCCTCCTCCTGCCTGCTCCTCCTCCTCCTCCTCCTCCTCCTCCTCCTCCTCCGGCACGTTTTGAGACGTCGCTAAAATGAGTATAAAAATCCTGTTTGGGGAACCCTGTCTCGGAGCCCAGAGTTGCGAGGATGTCCCAGGTCGCACCTGGTCGACGAGTAAGCTGTCGGGTCGGCACTGAGAGAGGCTCCACCGCCATGCTGTGAACTCAGAAGCAACTTTAAGAGGAAGCGGGGGAGGGCGCGGAAGCGGGGGGGCATGTCGTGATGGTTCCCCCGGGGATGATATCGAGAGGTACGCGGCGCACGTCTCAAAAGAAAAATCGTGACATCGGATGTCTGGGGAGGGTGGAAGGCAGTGCGCGCATGACGGATGCTGAGGCGGCAGAAACGACGACGGCGGGGACGGGGAGGCGGAGGCGAAGGCGCAGCAGCGGGAGGCGGGAGGCGGGAGGAGGGAGGAGGGAAGAGGAGTCAGGCGGGAAGTGGGAAGAGGGAGGCGGGAGAAGGAATGAGAGAGGTTGTGATTGGAGCCCCTGTGCTACGAAACGTCTCAGGCAGAACGGGCCAGACCATCTCGCGCGCAACATCTTCGAGCCTCACATTACGAGGATGACTCAATCTAAACGGGCCGGACCACCTCGCGAGCGACATCTTGGAGCTCAGTATTGGAAGGATGTCTCAAACGAAACGAGCCGGACAATCTCTCGCACACGTTCTGACAAGTCCACGTCGCACTCGCTTCCCGTTAGGTCCTCTCCTGCAACTCCCTTCCTTCTCCCTCCTCCTCCTCCTCCTCCTCCTCCTCCTCCCCCTCCTACTGCCTGCTCCCTCATGCACATCATGCGCCTCCTCCTTCTCCCTTCCATCTCCTTTTCCTTCTCCTCCTCCTTCTCCTCCTCCTCCTCCACCTCCTCTTCATCCCGAACGGCATTTCGGAGCCTAGAGTTGCGAGAATATCTCCAGCGTAACGGGCTGGAGCACCTCGCGTGCGGCATCTCGGACCCCAGAGCTGCGAGGATGTCTCGGGCGAAACGTGCTGCGAGGAAGTCTCAGGCGAAACGGGTTGGACCACCTCGAGCGCGGCGTCTCAGAGCTCCGAGTTGCGGGGGCCTCCTGGTGCCTCCTGGGGCCTCCTGGGGACCTCCTGGGGCTTTCTCCTGGGCCTCCTGTGGCCTTCTGAACTCCACCTGGGGTTTCCCGAAGCCTCTTGGGGCTCCCAGAGGGGATATCTAACCTGTGGCCGCTTGGGCCCCTCAAAATGGAGGGGGGGGCACAAGAGCAGGAAAAATCAACGAATCGACACCGGATGTGTATCAACTTGACACGTTCTGACAGGGGGCCTCCTGGGGCCTCCTGGGAGCCTCCTGGGAATCTCCTGGGGACCCCTGGGGCCTGTCCTGGGCGTCTTGCGGCCTCCTGAAGCTCTCTGGGGCCTCCTGGGGCTCCCAGGGGGGATGTGTAACATGTGGTCTCCTGGGCCCCCAGGCTGGACCACCTCTTGCGCGGCATCTGGGAGCTCAGTCAGAGTTGCGAGAATGTCTTATGCGAAACGGGCTGGACCACCTTGCGCACGCGTCTCAGAGCTCAGAGTTGCGAGGATGTCTCAGGCGGGACGGGCCGAACCACCTCGCGCAGGGCATCTCAGAGCTCAGAAGTTCGAGGATGTCTCAGGCGGGCTCCCAGGGTCCCAGGGAGGATGTGTAACATGTGGTCTTCTGGGCCCCCAGGCTGGACCTCCTCTTGCGCGGCATCTGGGAGCTCAGAGTTGCGAGAATGTCTTGTGCGAAAGAAACAGGCCGGACCACCTTGCGCACGGCATCTCAGAGCTCAGAGTTGCGAGGATGTCTCAGGCGAGGCTGGCTGGACCACCTCGCGCAGGGCATCTCAGAGCTCAGAAGTTCGAGGATGTCTCAGGCG